GTATGTTGCAGTTGTTTAGCTGGCCCGGGCCAGGTTCAAGCCCACCACCTTCGATGCATGTGGCTGGTGCCATAACCACTATGCTAAGGGCACTGAGCCTTTTTTCTTTCTTTTTAACTTCCTTTTTAGATTAAGACCAAAAGCAATTAGAACAAATGGCGATTTTTGTCTTCTGATTAATAGACATACATACATTCTGAGTATACATTGAAGTGTTGGCTACTAGAATAAAGGCTTGGACATTGTGGTGTATTATTTGGAGCCTTTAGGATGTGTGAAGTTTGTTAAGCATTCTATATTCATTTTGCATTTATAAGGTTGAAACTTCCTGTTTTTCTTTATTATGGCATTCCTGAAAGAACATGCGGCGGGAGAGTGCCCTCTGCTGGCCAAGTCTCCCTCTCTGTTCTCTGCCTCCAACAACTGGTATGAAAAAGAGGTTTTCTAGAAGGCACACTTAGGCTTTGGGATATTAGTAGATCTCCTACTGTCATATCACAAGCTCTTAGGTCAAGCCATAGGGAAATATTCACAAACAGATGTGTACATCCGTAGTTACTAAGCTCTGCTGCTCTTTTCTTCTCTGTGGCCCTCTGCCTACCAGTGCTTTTTGCTTGATTGGCTCCTCATGCGTAGGTGTCAGGTAAGGAGGTATAGACGGAGTAACTGGACTGAATGAAGTTTTGTGTTTTCATCTGTTGTCCTTGGCAGCTAAGAACTCAGCTAAAGTTGTTTCACTTTACTGATACGTGACAGGTACACAAAATTAACATAAATTGGAAGTGTGTGTGGTAGCATTTTGAATCTTTGTACAGGAGGAGGATGTCCTACTTGAAAAGGCCATCTTCCAGAAACCTTGACCTAGCTGGATGGATTCATCATGTTAGCTAGGTTTGGGGTTTTTAATTTTTGTTCTTGGGATGTTTGTTTTTGTTTTGTTTGTCATTATTTGTTTTCCACTTTTATTTTGTCCCAACATTTTCCTTTATAGTCCATCATTAGATATTGATCAGTTGAAGCTCATTTTAAGACTCGTTGGAACCCCAGGGGCTGAGCTTTTGAAGAAAATCTCCTCAGAGTCTGTGAGTTGATGCTTTGATTGTAATTATCTGCCCTGTTGGGAGCTTCTGCCACTTGCCTTCTATCAGTCTGTACTTTGACCCATGTGTGTTTGTAAGCATGCATGCCCTTTGTGTGCTGACTTCCACAATGAGGATTGAGAGTGTGTGTGTGTGTGTGCCTGCACCCACACTATGTGCCTGCTTGCATGTGTGAGTGTTTTGCTTTCTCTTTATCTGGGGACTTAGATCATGGGATCTTCTGTTGGGCAGTAGTATCCCAGTAAAATGATAAGATTTTAAATTCAAATTCTTTCCAAGAGATTAATAGAAATTGTGTCTCCATTCTCAAGCCCTGATTTCATCTTTCTCTAGAGTTTCACATATACTTAAGAACTCTTTTCATTTTTTGTATTTGTTCTCAGAACATGAGCTTCTCCATTTAATAATTTAACTTCACTAAAGGAATGAAATGTGCATTGTCTGCATGCTATTGCCCTTTTCCAGAGGTTACTTGTTACTGTTTAAGAACAGACAAGTCACATATCCTATGTAAGGTATCTGTTCCCAACAGAGGTACCTTTCTACCCCATCCCCAGACTACTCAGAGGAAACACCTCCACTCCTGATACCTCAGAACCACAGGAGCGAGGTTATAAATTCTTCTTCCTTTAGCCTTCCTTTATAAGTTGAATAACTTGAGAAAAGACTTTGGAGTTAGTGTTTTCCTACAGTGATTTAGACAGAAACCTTGAAAATGTGACTCTGGCTTTCTTTGGCTATGATTTCCTGCTGTTGGTGATTTTTTTGAGCCAGAGGCATGAGAAAAGCCATGAAAGCCTGGCTTTTCCACCTTCTCTCCTCTATCTGCCACTAGGCAGTTGGGTAAAAGGGAAAAAGAGCCATGGAGCCAAGCTCCAGTTGTTGTATTCCTGGATTCTCCTCCCAACATTTCTGACTAAAGGGGCCTTTGCCCAATTGGGAAGACTGCTTGGTAGTTGGAGGCAGGCATGAGCAGGTGAGTTTGAACTGTTTGTCATCTTCTGACAAAATAAATACAATCATCTGATATGTACGGGCTGTCCATAAAGTTTGTGTGCCTTTAAAATAGTCAGCTATTTTAAATGGCATACAAACTTTATGGACACCCTGTGAATGGTGCATTTCTTTAAAGAACCATAAAGCCACTCCAAGGGACCTAAAATGGTATGCTGGTCCTATTTTATGTTATTTACTTAAAATAAAGAAGAAAAAGTACAGAAAGACAGCTAAGTATAGATCTCAGATGCTCTGATAAGATGATCTAAAACCGTAATCTCATGTTATTACACATTGTTTTGAAAGTCATTGTCAGGGCGGTGCCTGTGGCTCAGTGAGTAGGGCGCCAGCCCCATATACTGAGGGTGGCGGGGTTCGAACCCAGCCCCGACCAAACTGCAACAAAAAAATAGCTGGGCGTTATGGCGGGCACCTGTAGTCCCAGCTACTGGGGAGGCTGAGGCAAAAGAATTGCCTAAACCCAGGAGTTGGAGGTTGCTGTGAGCTGTGATGCCACAGCACTCTACCAAGGGCAATATAGTGAAACTCTATCTCTAAAAAAAAAAAATAGCCGAGTATTGTGGCAGGCGCCTGTATTCCTAGCTACTTGGGAGGTTGAAGCAAGAGAATTGCCTAAGCCCCGGAGTTTGAGGTTGCTGTGAGCTGTGACACCCCAGTACTCTACTGAGGGCAACAAAGTAAGACTCTGACTCTTAAAAGGGGGGGAGGGGGTCATTGTCAGAATTACTGACTTCAGTGTCAACTTGAAGAAGTATTTCCTTTTACTTTATGATATGAAGAAGCTGGATTAGAAGCTGAACCAAAAAAGGTATCAGATGATAGTTAGAAAGGACTGTACTTACTTAAAAAATGCATTTGCTTAGAACGATTGGCTAATTGGAGGCAGTGGGAGGGCTGGGAAGAAGCTCAGTTAATTAATGAATAGTGCTAACGAGACTGAGATAGGAAATTCATTTCCTTTCTGGGAATGACTACTAGCAATTCCTTTTCAGTCCTCTCTTCTGTCCCAACCATCTGTCCTATAGATAACATGCTATTAGTCACAGAGGTTATAAAAGACAAAGTATGGGTAAAATAGTATTTATTTATCACTGATCCATCATTTATTTTTAAGAAAGAAACAACATTCTGGGCTGAGTGCTATGGCTTATGCCTCTAATCCTAATACTTTCGGAACCATAGGCAGGAAGATTGCTTGGGGACAGGAGTTTAAGATCAGCCTGGGCAATAGTGAGACCTCATCTCTACAAAAAATGAATAAGAATTAGCTGGGTGCGGCATGCCAGGATGTGGTAATCCCTGCAGATAGGGACCCGCCCAGGAAGAATTGAGTGCTTCCTGGACTCCGATTCCTTTCGTGCTTGTCTCAGAATAATTTCTCATTTTCGGTCCTTGACACTCCCTACTTGGAAAGCCAAGGCAAGGAGGATAACATGAGCCCAGGAGTTGGAGGTTGCAGTAAACTGTGATGATTGTCATTGTACTGTAGCCTGTCTCAAAATAAAAAAAAGAAAGAAAGAAACAACACTGTCTGCACATCATACATTTCAACAGCTCTACTATAGCATTGGGCACAATGAAATTGAGTACCAGAATATAGAACTTAACTCAAATAATATTGTTTTTGAGTGTAGGAATAAGAAAGGATTTTTTTCCTACATAATCTAAAAGGTAAACAGGCTTAATTTGATGTTAGTGACACCTGTTTATTTTAAAAGCACATGGTGTATGAAGTACAGAATGGAAAAGTGACAAAGACAGGTGAGTAAAATTGTTCAAAGATTTTAAAAAGTGAAAAAGAAAAGGTGTTAGTGAAGGAACGTAGTAAACAGAAAGCCAACAGCTATTTTCATTACTTCTGAAGAGCACTCGTGATGCCAGCACTTATGAAGAAATTCACTCAATATATAATAGGATAGTCTAAGTAAGAGAATGAAATAATGGATGGAGAACATGCTGCGATTGCCATAGGAAAGAGGATAAATGGGTCATGGTGCAGGCCTGATGATAGAGAATTTATTTGGTTAATATCACAGTACCTATGGTAGCAATTAGTAAAAGTACAAAAAAATCATATTAAGAAAACGGAAGCCTAGTTCATTCTCACTTTTTTTTTTCTTAGAAATAACCATCTTTCTAACCTACTGATAGGAAGAGTATATTTGACTAAAGGAGACAGAAAAATAAAATGTACTGCCCAGGTATTATTCACAGAATTTAAGGCAGATGGGGCAGGATTTTAACATTTTTAAACCCAACTGGTATTCTGCCCTTGCTGGTTTACTTTGTAACCCCTTTTGTTACTTCTTTTGGTATGCAAAGTACCATTTGTTGTGTAACAGGTGAAAGGTAAATCTTAACTCTGTTGTCAGATTGTTAAAAGAACTTTATATGACCTCTTTGATTTACTGGCCTCTGTCTCTGGCTTAGGGAACATGAAAGGCAGGGAGGAGCTGGTTGCCCATAGCTCTTACCCCAGGGTCAGCCTTAAACATGCATTTAATTAAACTGCTAAGTAATGTGACTACTAGGGAGTTTAGTTCAGAGAGTGAGCTAAAGTAAAACAATTTTTCAGAGAAGTCACAAAGAAGTAAAAATTACTTGGCCCTGGTGGTCATTGAAAATGATGTGTCAATTGAAAGAAGGAATTGATTGATAGTTATAAAGAAAGGGACTAGAAAAGGAAATTATGGAATTATGTTGAGGATTTTAAAAAGGCCACCACTTCTGCTTTTCTTAGGAACACATGATGAACTAATAGTTCTCATATTTTAGAAAAGGGGGAATTTTGTTAACATTGATTGAACAGTTAAAATAGAAATTTGGATTACAACATACATATGTGCTTGTACATTTGGAAAACCTCAGAGTTTTGACCCTGTCTGATAATTGCAGCATTTTGAAAACTTCTTTCTAGCTGTTAAGTGCATTTAGTCTCCTGTTAAAGGGATTTGTAGAGGAAATCATTGTGGCATGCCATAATACTGTCAGTGGCCTGTAACTTCTGTGTTGCCTTTGCCATTAGCTTCTAACTCTCTCCCTGTCTCTCCTTTCTTCACATACTGGTTTGTGTTTGTACCAAGTACTTTAAATGTACCACTACTAACGTCTTTGAAATTTAGCTTTGCTTATCCACCCACAGGCCCCACCCTATGTCTTAATTTGGAGGGGTGGTACCTTAGAGAAGCCATGCCACAAAAGTTTAGTCTCTTTGGCTCGGTGCCTGTGGCTTAAGCGGCTAAGGCGCCAGCCACATACACCTGAGCTGGCGGTTCGAATCCAGCCCAGGCCCACCAAGCAACAATGATGGCTGCAACGAAAAATAGCTGAGCATGTGGCAGGCACCTGTAGTCCCAGCTACTTCGGAGGTGGAGGCAGGAGGATCGCTTGAGCCCAGGAGTTGTGAGCTGTGATGCCACAGCACTCTACCCAGGGCAACAGCTTGAGGCTCTGTCTTAAAAAAAAAAAAAAAAGTTTAGTCTCTTCTTTGAATGGATATATTGGATATGTTATTTTGTTTAAAGTTGAGTCAGAATTTTTAAATCATCTGAATTTACCCCATACGCAAACAGACTTTGGCCATCAGTACCAAAATAGTTCTCGGCTGGCATCCTAGATCAAGGGGTGGTCTATTTCCAGGGAACTTAAAATATTTAATTTTAAAGATCATGCTAAAACTAAAGAAAATCAACTTGTCTTAACCTGCATAGACAGTGGCTACATGCCTAATAATTCATGCCAGTTACAGAAGTATGCTTTAACATGCAGGTGTGGTGCTCTTGGGTGGGTGGGGAGAAGGTTTTTGGTTTTGGCGTGAATTTTTTTGACCTTTTTAAAAACTCAACTTGAAAGTTATTTTTTTCACTGTATATTTAATAATGCCCTTGACTAGGCATCTAAGATATTAACCAGCTTCAGCAGATTATGCGTCTGACGGGGACACCCCCTGCTTATCTCATTAACAGGATGCCAAGCCATGAGGTGAGAACAAACAGACTGTGCAGGGATGTCTAATTCAGAAAGTCCAGGTCTCATTTTATTGCCACTGTATAACTGACAACAGTTTTTAATATCACTGAATGCTTGCATGTGCCTAGAGGGCTACTGAAGCAATGACTGCCTGTGTTCTATTGCAAGATGTTGACATTGGGGATAAAATGTCATCCAGTCCTGTAAGATCGAGAATACTATAATTTATAGGCCCTTAAACACAAAATGATGTTACTTGTATATTTGGTTCTGTGAATTTAACGTTCATGTGCCTGCCTCTTTCTTTCTAGGAACTATGCCTGTAGCTAGGGTATGCTGCCCTCTGATGACCTTGGTCAGAGATGTAGTTACCTGAAGTCCATTAACATGCTTTCCTATTCATCTATTTATCTTAACGACCAAAAAAGGATTTATTTTTATTGTTTTTTTTTTTTTTTTTTGAGACAGAGTTTCCTTTTGTCGCCCTCAGAGTGCCATGGCGGGCATTATAGTTCACAGCAACCTCAAACTCTAGGGCTTAAGCAATTCTCTTGCCTCAGTCTCCCAAGTAACTGGGACCACAGGCTCCCACCACAACACTCAGCTATTTTTTAGAGATAAGGTCTCACTCTGGATCAGGCTGGTCTTGAACCCGGGAGCTTAATCCACCCGCCTCGGCCTCCTAAGTGCTAGGGATTACAGGTGTGAGCCCACTGTGTCTGGCCCCAAAAGAAGATTCTTCATTTAAAAAAAAAATACCATAAAATATCCAGCTATAGTTTTTCAAGTACTATGTTTAAAGTAAAATAAATATGAACACTTGGGTAGATTAACTCTCTTGTTATTCTGAGGTGATTGAGGCACTTCTTTCTAAGGTACCCTTAATTATTTGGGGAACCAAGTTGGCCCTTCCTAGCAGCTTTGTTTCTACTTCAGCTATATTCGGATATTCTTTTTATTTATCTTATTAAAAGTGGGATGACTATTTTATGAATGAAGCAGTTCTCTCATCTATATTTTCCTTTCATCCATTTAGTTATATGTTCAAACAGAAAGGGATTATAGCCATGTGTACATTCAATTCCTAGACCTTTCTTCTTAGTAAAAGGCAAAAGATTTATGTGATCTGAAGAGAAATCAGAGTTTCTTTTTAAATCAGGAAGAGTCACACCTGTGGTACATATTGCGGGTACGTGTCAGGTCTATTAAGTATAGAGTATAAGTGTCTTAACACAATAACTAAGTAAATGAGGTGAGGGATGTAGTAACCAGTATGATGTAAGCATGCCAAATTGTATATGAAATCAGCACATTGTACCCCATAAATGCATTACATGATTTAATTTAAAAAATAAATAAATCGGGAAGCGTCTCAACTACTTTTCAAAGCAGACCTCTCCTAATTCTCTCCTTGTATAATGACTAAGAAGGTAAAGTAGCCCCAACAACCAGAACTTTTTATAACTTCATGTGTATTTGTGTAGATCCATAAATATACATCTATATCTTTACTGTTAGAGGTGGTTAAGATAGAAAGCAGACTTAGCTTTCTTTTTTTTTTCCTTGTTTTTTTTTTGTCGAGACAGAGTTCCACCCTGTGCCCTGAGCAGAAGGCAGTGGCGTCAGAGCTCACTGCAACCTCAGGCTCCAGCTGCGGGCATCCTGCTGCCTCAGCCTCCGAGGCCGCTGGGATTACAGGCGCTCGCCGCGACGCCCGGCTGGGTTTTTCCATTTTTTTAATGAGTCGGGGTCTCACTTTCGCTCAGGTGAGTCTCGAACTCCTGAGCTCGAGCAATCCTCCCTCCTCAGCTTCCCACAGTGCTGGGATTACAGGCGTGAGCCACCGTGCCCGGCCAGACTTAGCTTTCTAAAGGTGACAGTGAAAGCAAATGATGCTTATTGAACTACTTGGAACCAAGTACTGTGCTAAGAAAGTACTCCCTTATATCTGATTTTCACTCCAACCCTGTGAGGTAGGCGTTGTGATTAGTCCCATTTTACAGATGAGAAACCCAAGTATTTAAAGAAATAATAAGTAACTTACCCAGAGTAATAAAGTCAAGATTCAAACTCAAAGCTGGCCAATTCCAAAGACTGAACTTTTAACAACTATGTGTAGGTCATTCTGAAAGTAGTTGATACACAAAAATCAAGAAACATAAAATCAGGCAGGGCACATGCAATCCTAGCACTCTGAGAAGCCAAGGTGGGTGGATCACCTGAGCTTACTAGTTCCAGACCAGCTTGAGCCAGAGCGGGACCTCATCCCCAAAAGTAGCAGGACGTTGTGGCGGGCAACTATAGTCCCAGCTACTCGGGAGGCTGAGGCAAGAGAATCACTTGAGCCCAAGAGTTTGAGGTTGCTGTGAGCTGTGATGCTACAGCACTCTACTGAGGGTAACAAAATGAAACTGTCTCAAAAAAAAAAAAAAGAAAGAAAGAAAGAGAAAGAAGGCTCAGCACCTGTAGCTCAAGTGGCTAAGGTGCCAGCCACATACACCGGAGCTGGCGGGTTAGAATCCAGCCCAGGCCCACCAAACAATAAAAACTACAACCAAAAAATAGCCAGACATATTGTAGCAGGCGCCTGTAGTTCAGCTACTTGAAAGGCTGAGGCAAGAGAATCCCTTAAGCCCAGGAATTGGAGATTTCTGTGAACTATGATGCCACAGCACTCTACCCAGGGTGACAAAGTGAAACAGCTTGAGACTCTGTCTCAAAAAAAAAAAAAAAAAAAGACTGCTGGTCCTAAACTTTCTTCAGGAATACTAACCCCTCTGCACTTTAAGCTGTTCAGGAAAACTTTCTCAGAAAGGACACATCTTAGATATCTTGGCCTCCATTTTTAAACTGCTGATCTTACAAACAGAAAGTTAATGAAAGAAAACTTGATCAGGAATCATTCTTGAAATATAACTGTGAGAGATAGCAGGAATAAATAAATATGATAATCATCAATAGAGAAGTTAAGATGGTAGTAAGAGTCTTTAAATGAATGTCTAAGATAGTCATAAACTTTAGAGTTAACATAAACATTGTCAGTTGTTCTTTAACAGGACCAAACATTTGAGGACAATGATGTTATTAAACAAAGTCATTCTGAAAACCCTTCTTTTTTACAGGCAAGAAACTATATTCAGTCTTTGGCCCAGATGCCGAAGATGAACTTTGCAAATGTATTTATTGGTGCCAACCCTTTGGGTAAGTCGATCGTATCCTCATCTCTTGGATATTGAATGGATTATGACATAAATTAGAAATTTGAAGAAGAGTTTGTTTTCCTTTTGACCAAATAGGTCAAAATAGGGTATCATTAATTAAATCTTGGTAGATTTATTATCTATGTTTGTACTGCCAGATTTTCAGAAATCACATGACATGCTTATATATTTATATGATCACAGCATTTGATGGAGTATCTGGACTGGCACATGAAGGAAGGAGAGAAAGTAACAGGAATGTTGGGAGAAAGATTGGAGAGGCAGGGAGAAAGATAGAGAAGAAAGCCTGCGACTTGTTCACTGCTGCTGCTGATTTATGGTGTCCTAACTTGAGGGTAAAAACAACTAAAAGACAGATGGGTGTTGAAAGCACCCGCCCAGGAGCTCCCTGCAGGGTGCTCTACTCAGCCTGTAGCTGCCCAGTGAGTCCTGCACACTTGCATACTTTTCTCCTCCCCTCTTCCTCCTCTGCCCCTCAGAGGCTTAGCCATCTTCTCTTCTTTATGGAGCTAATTTGCTAACCTCAGACTTTAAAGAATGTGCACAGTATTTCTTCCTGCCATATCAACTTCAGGATCCTTGAAGGCGTGCTCTCATTGGCTGTCTATGATGGTGGCAGAAAGAAAAAAGGAAGCAGCAGTGGCAGCTGAGGATATGTGTTGTCTTGGCTAAAAAAGAAGTTGCTTAATTCTTGCAAACTGGGGGCTGATGTGTGCTTCATAGGCCCTGAAGCTGTTTTGCTTGGGGCTTGAATTCCCTGACTCTAGGAGGTGCAGTGAACAGTGCTATTTACACAGGCACAGAAGGTTCAGACCCAGACCTCCCTACATTCAGGAAGAGAGTGATACTTCTCACTTTTTAAAAGACTGTATTATATAATAGTAGTATGTTTTCATATCTCAATGTATTTCTTTAAATCTATGTGGGTCATCTCTCTGCCACAAGTCCCAGCAGCTGTGCTTCAGGTTTAGTATTTTCCTTTTGAGGGCTGACAGCCATGATGACCTCTTCAGAAGTGAGGTGAAGGCTAGGTGGTTTACCTTTTGAAGTACTTATTATAATAACAGAGGTGCTCATACTCTTTGAAGCATTAGGCAGTTATGGGTGAGTTCATGTTAGCCTTGGAGATGGAGAGTATGTCAGATCTCAGCTAGGTCATTCTCAATGTCCAAGGATGAATCCACAAACTCATCACAGGTATGTAGGACTCTATTGTTACTGGTTTAGGCCTGCATCCTCCCCGGCATGCTCTCATTGGCCATCTATAATTTATTTGAGCTGTGTTATGTAGTTCAAGGATCTATGAGAAGCTCTCTTTGAACCTTGCATACTGTAGGATGTTGGGAAAATATGTAGTATGCTGGTAGCTTTCTTGTCTGTCTTTTTTTTTTTTTTTTTTGTAGCGATAGAATCTTACTTTATCACCCTCAGTATGAGTGCTGTGGCATCACACAGCTCACAGCAACCTCCAACTCCTGGGCTTAGGTGATTCTCTTGCCTCAGCCTCCTGAGTAGCTGGGACTACAGGTGCCAGCCATAACGCCTGGCTACTTTTTTGTTGCAGTTTGGCCAGGGCCAGGTTCAAACCCACCACCCTCAGTATATGGGGCCAGCGCCCTACTCACTGAGCCACAGGCGTCTATCATTCTATTTGAACTTTTTCATCTTACCAGCCCTAAGTTTTAGGCATGGCGGTACTCTTATGTTTAACTCCCTATTAATAGATGCAAAAAATTTGTTAATTCATTTTCCTTTGGATAAGGGAGATGTATGTATCCCAGCAGCTTATTTAGGCTGCATACTTCCAGACAGGTTCCACATTCTCTAGAATCATGACATTTAAACATTCTAAAGAACTAGATGGTACACTGCAAAAGAGACTGCTAATGAGTTGGATGGAGACTTTAGTCCATCTGGTGTTCAGTGCTGTACTTACCGGAGTTTAAACATGGCTAACAGCCCATTGCCAAACAGTGATGTCATATAAAAAGACTCCTTCTGCTTGGCAGACAGAACATAGTGTTACTGATCATGAGCTCACACCCAACACAATAACTGAACAAGAGTACACCAGCAATATAAATATTAACATCTCTGTTTTCTCAGTCACTAACTTCATTTCACTGCTATTCCCAAAACATGAATTAAAACTTAAATTGCCCTTTATGTCAGCACATAAAGGTCAAATCCTTGAGGAATCTTTTTCTTACCCCGACCTTATTCCTCATTAAGTTATTGATTATAGGCTCCGCACCTGTAGCACAGTGGTTATGGCGCCAGCCACATACACCAAGGCTGGCAGGTTCAAACCCAGCCTGGGTCAGCTAAAAAACTGCAGCAACAACAACAAAAAATAGCCAGGCGTCCTGGCGGGTGCCTGTAGTCCCAGCTACTTTGGGAGGCTAAGGCAAGAGAATCGCTTAAGCCCAAGAGTCAGAGGTTGCTGTGAGCTGTGGTGCAATGACACTCTACTGAGGGCAAGGTAATGAGACTGTCTCACAAAATAAAAAAAAAAAAATTATTGGTTATAAGGGCAGTGGTACTTTTTATCCTAGAGATGGTAAAGGCTCATATAATCCATGTTCTATTATAAAACAAAGAGCTAGTAAGATTTCATTTTCTAAAAAGAGAGTACCATCAAAATATATATCCACGTACTTCTCCCAGTACTGTATTTTAAAGCATAAACTTACGGGTTCAGTGCCCATAGCACAGTGGTTATGGCGCTAGCCACATACACCGAAGTTGGTGGGTTCAAACCCGGCCCGGGCCAGCTAACCAACAATGACAACTGCAACAAAAAATAGCCGGGCATTGTGGTGGACAACTATAGTCCTAGCTGCTCAGGAGGTCAAGGCAGGAGAATCACTTAAGCCCAAGAGTTTGAGGTTGCTGTGGGCTGTGACACCCCGGCATTCTACCGAGGCAGCGTAATAAGACTCTGTCTCAAAAAAAAAGTGTAAACTTAAGAACTTGAATCAAAACACAAATATTCATTTTGTTTCTGTATCCCATATACTTTGGAATTCAGGCTGCAAGACAGGGGTCTTTTTTTTTTTTTTCTTTTCATTAAAGGACAGGGGAGAGTGGTCTGAATCAGGTTATGAAGCCTCCATGCTGGGATACCTCACCTCAGCCATTGAATTCATTTCACTGGCCTTAAGTCTGTTCCAAGCTCCAGCTAAGGAAGCATCTGCCAGCCCCTCCCAGGGTGGGAGGGGGTGTCTATTGCATCTCCTGCCCAGAGCCCTGTTCTCTGGAAACTCACTTGCCCAAAGGACAAGGGGGTAGAGTGACTCAGTGCACTCAGCTGGTAGCCTCACCAGACAGGGGTCTTTTGTGGCCTCCAGTGTACGCAGCAAATCTCTTGAGGAAGCTATCCACTATTCATCCCCCACCCCCTCCACATTTAAGGAAGAATTAGCAAAATTTCCAAAGCCTTTCTTTTTCACCACAGTAGTAACTATAGTCATGGTTCATTTCATGGCAAACTTCCCAAATATTACCATGCTGAAACTCAAAACATCCTCATTTGAAAGATAGAAAAATCATCATTTTATAACCCCTAATGAAATAATTGTTTGGGAAAAAAAAAATCAATGGATGTGAAAAAACGAAAATCGAAGTGAATTGATACTCACTTGGTACCAAAATATCCCACGGATAACTTGCTTGGGGCAAAGCGTAAACAATCCAGTGATCAAATTTAGCATCATTAATTGTGGAACAAATGGCCTTAATGCACTATCAAGTACATAATATTATCTGGCTCGGCGCCTGTGGCTCAAGCGGCTAAGGCGCCAGCCACATACACCTAAGGTGGTGGGTTCGAATCCCCAGCCCGGGCCCGCCAAACAACAATGATGGCTGCAACCAAAAAAAAAAAAAATGGCCAGGCGTTGTGGCGGGCGCCTGTGGTCCCAGCTACCTGGGAGGCTGAGGCAGGAGACTCGCTTGAGCCCAGGAGTTGGAGGTTGCTGTGAGCGTGATGCCATGGCACTCTACCCAGGGGGATAGCTTGAGGCTCCGTCTCAAAAAAAAAAAAAAGTACATAATATTATCTATGAAATGGTTTTGCCAAAAATCTTTAACCTAATTCTTACCAAAGTTTTAGATCTAACATCTGGTTTGGGGGAAGTAGAGAGGATGGAGAACAGCAAGAGTATAGATACATATTAGCACACAGAAGCAGTCAGACCAGTTCCTAAGGATGGGTCTTTTGAGATCAAAATCAGGAAAAAAACAGGGGATTAGAATTATTCTAAATTAAGAGGGACTAAAGAAACCTAATCAAATTAAATGAGTGGCCATAATTGAATCCTGGAACTAGTTCTAAAAGACAACTATAGAATAATTGGAGAAATTTTAACATGAACTATATTTTAGATGATATTTGGAAATTATATTATTTGTCAGATATCGTAACAGTATTACTATGTTGGAAGATGTCTTTGTGCTGAAATCTTTAGGAGGTAAAATGTCATGTCCATAATTTTATTTTAAAACAATTTAGAAAAATACATATAAGTTAAAAAATATACAGTGTGTGTTGTTGAATCTGCCTGGTAGGCCTATGAGTAATTCATTTTACTATTATTTTTATTTTCATATATATTTGAAATTTTTCATAATGAAATATTCTCAAATTTCTTTATTCCAAATACCATATCTTGCCTTCATCATCATGTAAAACCCTCAATTAGTTTATTTTGGTACAATTTGACTATGTGGTAGCAGTTTGACGTTGCTGTTCCATAAAAGTTTGTTCAAGTAAAATCCCAGTTATTTTTAAAATTCTTTTTTAACAATGTATTCTTAAAGTAGACAAAATATGTATATATGTATAAAGGAGAAAAAATAATATATTTTGGAGTAGAATTCGTTGTTTGGATACAAAGAATCAAAACTATGGGCTGTCAACTTCCTGCTCCTTGCCTCCTGCACAAGTTCTAAGAATCTTTGCCACCCTGCCAGCGTGTCTCAGTCTGAGTTTAACAAAGCTGCGGAGAAGGTTAAGCACTTCAAGACCAAGCCTGCAAAGGATGAGATGCTGTTCATCAACAACCACTATGAACGAGTGACTATGGGAGATGTGAATACAGAACAGTCTGGGATGTTGGACTTCAAAGGCAAGGCCAAGTGGGATGCCTGGAATGAGCTGAAAGGGGCTGCCAAGGAAGATGGCATGAAAGCGTACATCAACGAAGCCGAAGAACTAAAGAAAAAATATGGAATAGAAGAGACTATGACTATAAGAGATTTGGTTGCAGCCATGTGGTTAACCTAAACTGATATGATGCCTTGTTTTTTCTAATACTGTGGATGATGTAAAATAACCAGTTAGCCCAGTTCCTCAAAGCTGTTGAGGATACAGCTCCAACAGATTAGGGGCTAAAATGATTACTGACCTTTCCTAAGTAGTTTTTATCTGAGATGAATTAAAAGTATATTTGTTGGCTCGGCGCCTATAGCTCAACCGGCTAAGGCGCCAGCCACGTACACCTAAGGTGGCAGGTTCAAATCCCCAGCCCGGACCCGCCAAAAACAACAATGACGGCTGCAACCAAAAAATAGCCAGGCGTTGTGGCGGGCGCCTGTGGTCCCAGCTACTTGGGAGGCGGAGGCAGGAGACTCGCTTGAGCCCAGGAGTTGGAGGTTGCTGTGAGCTGTAATGCCACGGCACTCTACCCAGGGGGACAGCTTGAGGCTCTGTCTCAAAAAAAAAAAAAGTATATTTGTTACTTTAAAAAAAAAAACTATTTGCTTGCTAAGGCATAATTTTTGTTAATTCTTCTTTCCTTTGGCCATGTAATATTGACAGCTGTTGACTTGCTGGAGAAGATGCTTGTATTGGACTCAGATAAGAGAATTACAGCAGCCCAAGCCCTTGCACATGCCTACTTTGCTCAGTACCATGATCCTGATGATGAGCCAGTGGCCGACCCTTACGATCAGTCCTTTGAAAGCAGGGACCTCCTCATAGATGAGTGGAAAAGTAAGTCCTAAGGTCAATTTACATCTAGCTTGAGATCTTAGATTTTAAAATCTCCCCTAGATGAACGACTAACCAAAAGCAGTGGCAAAAATAAAATAAAAACTAAATGATTATAACCAACTTGCTAAAGCTTACAGTTGTGGTGGCTAATGCAGAATCAGTGTGCTCCTCTGATAGAAACTGTTGTAGGTGATGACACTTTTTGGACCTTTAGGATGCTTATGTCTGGTCTGCTTTTGTGCACAGCCCCTCATAAATATGCATAGAGCTTTGGGGTTCTCAGAATCTTTGCATTTACAACATCTGAGATAAGTAGGGAAATGGGGTACTTTTTATAGTTTTACAATTGATAGAACCAAGGCAAAGAGAGTTTATATCTTATCTGTTATATATCTACTTGGGGACACAGCCAGAAATGGAACCCATGTCTCCTATGTCCAGTATCATCCTGTTCTTTACATAAAACACAAGTTCAGAACTCCAGTTATGTCTCCAAAGCCAGGACTATGTGTTGCCGTAGCCCCCGTGAGAGTACTCTGTCGTTCTTGAGTACGTTCTCCAGAGGACTTTAAAGAGAAAATACTGAAAGAAATGAGAAAAACACTGTTTTAATATGTATCCTTGGATTTCTGTGTAATCATGTTCCATTAGGATATCATAATTAATGAGGCAGTTATCATACCACTATCCTGGATAGGAAGGTTCTTGAGCTTAGAAGTCAAGAAGTTCTTCTCTGAAGTCACGAAGTCAAGTGCTTGCCAGCAAAGAGAATAGTTGAATTCTCACATCTTTTCCTTCCCAATTTTTAGGCCTGACCTATGACGAAGTCATCAGTTTCGTGCCACCACCCCTCGACCAAGAAGAGATGGAGTCCTGAACACCTGGTTTCTGTTCTGTTGATCCCATTTCACTGTGAGGGGAAGGCCTTTTCATGGGAACTCTCCAAATATCATTCAAGTGCCTCTTGTTACGAAGATTTCCTTCATGGTGGAAGGGGTGTGTGTGTGTGTGTATGTGTGTGTTAGTGTATGTACATGTGTGTATCTGTCTTTGTGGGAAGGTGAGAGAATATGAGTAAACTATGATCACAGTGACTTTACATGGAATTGCAGATGCTCCTTGGCAGCCTCCACTTGTTCTTCATTTTGTGAGTCAGCTCAGGCAGATAAGAGCTGCCTTCTTGTTAGGAAAATGTAAATGCAAAGTAAAAATATATTGAACGTTCCCTATTTCAGTCATGCTTTTGCCACTTTGGCTTCTCCTGTGACCCCCACCTTGACCGTGGGAGTAGGCTTGACCACATCCCACAGTGGCAGAGAGAAGGCTCACACTTTCTGGTTGCTTCACACCTGAAGCCATCCCTCAGCAGTGCATACAGCCAAGACAGACCAACTGGCCTCTGTGCGCTAACCTGTGTTATCTTGCTTAATACGGTTCTCAGAACTTGACAGCTGTATTTGAAATTGTAAATATGTTTGTGCCTTAAAAGGAGAGAAGAAATGTAGATAGTTAAAAGATTACAGCTGCTGAAGTTCTGAGCCAGGGCTGTTGGACGGCTGCTGTGGGCCCAGAGTAGCCGGGTAGCCTTCAGAGGCAGCCATGTGTGCGCATGCATATGTGTGCATCTCTCTCTCCTCACCCCCAGCTGATGTGGCCATTTCTCTGCTCACCTCTCACCTTCAGTGCAGAGTTTCATGAGTATTGGCGCTAGTGGTCAGAAGCAGGTCCTTGCTGCCAGTGTGCATCCTGTGTGCTCTTTATTTCTAGCAGAGTGAGGATGTGTTCTGCACGTCTTGCTATTTGAGCATGCACAGCTGCCTGTCCTGTTCTCTTCGGGAGGCCCTGGTGCCAGGCAAGTTTGCCAGTGAAGACTTGGATAGTTCAGATCCTGTGTCACCTCAGCTGATGCTATGGGCAAGTGACATCATCCTCTCTTTAGCCCCCAGCGCTATTTTGTGTTGATCACAATTGATATTCCAGGTGCTTTTGAAGTAAAAACCATGAAAAAAATGGAACAGATAGATGTATAGTGTTTTCATTCTTGCCATCTTCCAACAAACTGTTTTGGGGTAGCTATCAATGGGAAAGATCAGGGCTTTTCCTTTAAGAATATCCCAAACTTTGGAAAACAGGTTATTCTCTTTTCTCCCACTAATCATTGCTAAGGAAATGCTGAAAATAAAAGTAAAAAAAAAAAAAAAAAAAAAAGTGAGGCCAGAAACTCCTTTTGCTGTCTTTCTGTACAAGTAGTTATGTAAAGAAAAAAAAAGAAAGAAATGAGGTGTCATTTCCACTCCTCTTGGCAGCTTAATATTGACTTCTTGGTTTGGGGAGAAATAAATTTTGTTTCAGAATTTTATATAGTGTAGGAATCCTTTTGAGAATGTGATTCCTTTTGATGGGGAGAAAGGGCAAATTATATTAATATTTTGTATTTTCAACTTTGTAAAGGTGAAATATCCTCAGGGGTGGAGAAAAGTTGTTTTCATAATTTTCTGAATTTTAGGTATTTTGTGCTACATAAGGGCCCACGTATTTAAGTCTTTTGTGTAATAAGAAAGTGTAAAGCCACTTCCAGTGTTGGCTATGTGACAAAATCTTGTATTTGAGCCAAGATGTTTCCATTTCTTTATCAGTGCGGTGATGCATGCACTCCAGGAGGCCAGGGTAGGACCCCTGATTCAACTGGAGCAAGAAGGAAGGAAGCAGGCTGAGGGTGATACCACCTCACTGGGGATTCTCCCCTCTTTCAAGGAAAGTGAACGTAAAGGCCTCATCTTCTTTACATGCACTTCAAATCCTCACCATCCATAGCAAGATGAATTTTATCAGCCATGTTCGGTTGTCAATGCTAGTATGGTTTTCTATAGAAATACTGCTCTGAATATTTTTAATAAAGGTCTTTGCACATGTGACCACATACGTGTTAGGAGGCTGCGTGCTCCAGGAGCCTGGGACTCTAAACTGGGGCTCTTGGAAGAGCTCTTTGGTTTCTGAGCATAATGCTCCCATCTCCTCCTGACTTCTCTGAACAGAAAACAAAGGAGAGAATGAGGGAAACTGCTATTTTATTTGTATTCATGAACTTGGCTGTAATCAGTTATGCCATATAGGATGTCAGACAATACCACTGGTTAAAATAAAGCCTATTTTTCAAATTCAGTGAGTTTCTCAAACTTATTATACTTTTTTCCTTGATTGTTTTTATTTAATGCACACTATGGCATTGTATCGATGTACTTTCATCTGTGGCCTGGCATATATTTCTCATAGATATTAATACTACTCTTAAAATTTAGAAAATGTTTATAATGCTCCTTGGTTGTACATTTTCTGGTGTAGAGAACCTGGTCTTTGGTGTGAATGGGTAAAGCAAAGAGCAAGTAAACAAGGTATTACACGGTAGGGTCTGTGTTACTACACGTGGTGTGGGAGTGGGCTAGGGCAGGGGTCAGCAAACTGTGGCCCAAGGGCAAAACCCTACTTACCACCTGTTTTGTGTAGCCTGCTAAGAATGCTTTTTATATTTTTAAATGGTTGGAGAAAAGAAACAAAAGAAGAATGGTATTTTTGTAGCATGTGAAAAGCAATGTAAAATTCAAATTTCAATGTTCATAAATAAAGTTTTATCAGAACATGACCACACTCATTTGTTCATATATTGTGTGTGGCTTCTTTGTACTGCAGTGACAGAGTTGTAGTCACGAGAGAGGTTATCGGACCTACAGAATATAAACTGTTTACCATTTGGAAACAGTTTGCCGACCCTTGGCCTAGGGCTTAAGTTTCTTCATCTGTTAATACAAAGTTCTTTTCAGCTTTGACATTCTTGACTGCACAGTGTATTTTTTTTTTCTATTAATTGCCAGAGAGAAAGAAGGTTGGGGATGTACATATGCCTACCTTGTTCATAAGCTTTTAAGCAAAGATATTTTATGACGGTTCTGTCTTAGCTAGTTATGGGCCTTGAAAATACTCTTCAAAACTACTGAATTGTGGCCAGGCACGATGGCTCACACTTGTAACCCTAGCATCCAGGAGGCTGAGTTTAGGAGGATAGCTTGAGCTCAGGAGTTCAAGACCAGCCTGAACAAGAGTGAGACCCTGTCTCTACTAAAACATAGAAAAATTAGCTGGGTATTGTGGTGGGCCCCTGTAGTCCCAGCTACTTGGGAGGCTGAAGCAGGATTATTTGAACCTAGGAGTTTGAGGTTGCTGTGATCTATGATGATACCAGAGTACTCTAGCCTAGGCAACAGGTTGATACTGTCTCAAACAAACAAACAGAATTACTGAATGGCCTCATGACATTAAAGAGCCATGAGAAGTTACAGCTGAATTCTCAGGGACTGTGCCGGTGTGTTTCCTTTGTCAGTGTCATAGGAACACCTGACAGGTGTGCCAGAGTAGATTGTGAGGCTCAGCCTGTGAGGATACTGAGAGCTTGCAGTTTGGGCTTTGTCCTATACTGCCTGGTTCCCCAGCTGGCAGCTGGGAATGAAATGATGGTAGTGGTAGAAGACAGACCAATAATGGGCTTCTTTCCTGTTGTGACTTAACAGGGTGAGAAAAAGCCCCAATTGTCACACAGGGTACTTTAGCTCCTATAAGGATCATACAATTATTGCAGGGAATATTTTGCCTTCTTATACCAGACAAGAGCACAGCCTTCCTCCTAGGCTTCTGAGAGAGTCAATTCTCTGCTTAGCTCAAGGAGAATTGATAGCAGAGAAAGCTCCCCTAAGGTGAATCCCCTTAACATGGGGACCAGAATTTCATAATATTTGGTGGGGATGGATGGATCAGGGAAGTCCAGTTAAGGCTTTAATCACAAAAATGAACAAAATTATAAATCATGTTCATAATTTTAAATGTATATTCTTCTTTTTTTTTTTCTTTTTTTTGAGACAGAGCCTCAAGCTGTTCCCCTGGGTAGAGTGCTGTGATATCACAGCTCACAGCAACCGCCAACTCCTGGGCTTAAGCAATCCTCTTGCCTCAGCCTCCTGAGTAGCTGGGACTATAGGCATCCGCCACAACACCTGGCTATTTTTTGGTTGCAGCCATTATTGTTTGGCGGGCCGGGCTAGATTCAAATCCACCAGCTCAGGTGTATGTGGCTGGCACCTTAGCCACTTGAGCCACAGGTGCCAAGCCTTAAATGTATATTCTTTTTTTTTTTTTTTTTTGAGACAGTCTCACTTTGTTGCCCTTGGCAGAATGCTGTGGCATCACAGGTCACAGCAACCTCCAGCTCTTGGGCTAGGGCAATTCTCTTGCCTCAGCCTCCCCGAGTTGCTGGGACTACACGCACCCACCGCAATGCCCAGCTATTTTTGTTGCAGTTCCTACTGCTGTTTTAGCTAGCCGGGCCCGGGTTCGAACCCATCACTCTCAGTATATGCTGGCGCCCTACCCACTGAGCCACAGGCACCGCCCTAAATGTATATTCTTAAACAAAGAATAAATAAAAGTTTTTGAGGTGAAACTGTGATTTGATATCTCAGAACATCCTGATTTGATTTTTTGCAACATAATCATAGAGGGAAATTTTGCAAAAATATTTGAGGGCTTTGTTAGTTTTCCCAGAAATTCTCAAACTTTTAGTACTGAAGTCTTTTTTATAAATATTATTGGTGATCACCTTATCACCTTTTTATTGTTCATTAGTCTGAGTTAGCAATGTCAGATCCACATTGCTCAGTGGCTTTACTTGAGATTTGAGCAGCTTTCTAGATTATTGATCAACTTTGTCAGATCCACCATCATTTGCAAGATTTGTGATTATTGCAGTTATTCTGCATTCTATTTTATCATTTGTCATATGCTTACAATATAACTGTAGAGACTAACAGAAGACTAGAATACAATGACAAGATACTCTGGATTCAGATACTTAAGAAACAAGGAGGAACTAATTTTACAAGTAATCAGCTCACATTGCACAAGCAAAAGTGTAAAAGGTTGCTCAATGCCACATTCTTTGTAATAGCAAAACCACAAATCTGTCAATAAGGGCTTGATTAAGATGGCCGTCTGTGTAGTGGAATACCAGATAGCCAGGCTTGGATAGATACACAAGATACAATATGAAGGGGAAACAGGCTCAGCGCCTGTAACTCAAGCAGCTAGGGCGCCAGCCACATACAACAGAGCTGGCAGGTTCAAACCTGGCCAGGGCCTGCCAAACAACAACTACAACCAAAAAATAGCTGGTCATTGTGGTGGGCGCCAGGAGTCCCAGCTACTTGGGAGACTGAGGCAAGCAATTCACTCAAGCCCAAGAGTTGGAAGTTGCTGTGAGCTATGATGTCACAGCGCTCTACCCAGGGTGACAGTTTGAGACTCTGTCTTAAAAAAAAAAAAATGAAGGAGAAACAGTGGCACACTGTAATACACTGTCCCCCTTTAATGATAGATAGTATATGGATAGGGAGAACCTAGAGCAGCCATTCTCAACCTGTGGGTCGGGACCCCTTTTTAACAATGAAAATACATTATAGCATTAAGAAGGTTGAGAACTACTGACTTAGAGGAGCACAGCCAATTCTAGGAAGTGGGATTGTGGGCTCTTTTTGTGCTATTTCTGTAATGTTTGCTTTTCTTATGCACTGTCTTTTTTTTTTCTTAATCAGAGACTTGTTGTTGATGAGAAAATTTTGTTTTTTTGAGAGAGTATCACTTTGTCACCCTTGGTAGAGTGCTATGGCGTCATAGCTCATAGCAACCTCAAACTCTTGGGTTCAAGTGATCCTCTTGCCTCAGCCTCCCAAGTAGCTGGGACTATAGGGGCCCACCACACCACCTGTCTAGTTTGTCGTTTGTCTATTTTTTAGTGAGACAGGGTCTCACTCTTGCTCAGGCTGGTCTTGAGCTCATGAGCTCAAGTGATCCACCACTTCGGCCTCCCAGAATGCTAGGATTATGGGTACATACAAGCCACCATACCCAGCCATGATGAGAAAGATTTTTAAAGTCTTTATGCCCTGGGGACTTATTCTCAAATTTCAGCTTTCCCAAGAGTGGAGCCCAACTTTTCTTTTTTTTTTTCCTTTTTTGAGACAGAGACTCAAGCTGTCATCCTGGGTGAGTGCTGTGGCATTACAGCTCACAGCAGCCTCTTAACTCCTAGGCTTAAGCGATTGTCTTGCCTCAGCCTCCTGAGTACCTGGGACTACAGCCACCTGCCACAACGTCCAGCTGTTTTTTGGTTGCAGCCGTTGTTGTTTGGCGGGCCCAGGCTGGATTTGAACCCACCAGCTCAGGTGTATGTGGCTGGCGCCTTAGCTGCTTGAGCCACAGGCACCGAGCCAGAGCCCAACTTTTCAAGGCAAAAGAACATTTGGTGGAAGGAGATTGCACCCAATTGGCCTGGCAAGCGGAGCTCCATCAGTACTTTTTAACAGGATTCCCCACCCACCAGGAAGGACTTGGTAGTTTCTTCCCCTATAGAAGGGTATATTTTAAGGACCTGAAGCAGGATTTTTCTATTTTGGCACTGTAGACATTTGGAACCAGGTAATTTGTTATGGAAACTGTCCTCACTGTAGATTGTTAAGCAGCATCCCTGGCCTCTACCCACTAGATGCAAGTAGCACACATACTCCCTTCCTCCAGTTGTGACAGCTAGACTGTCTCCAGATGTTGCTAAATGCCCCTTAAGGGGCAAAATAATTCAGGGTTGAAAACCACAAATCTAAAACTGTCCCTCCCAGTATTGCAGAATAACAAAGCCTCTTCTCTTAAAAAACTAAATGTTAACACTTAACCAACCTGTTGCAATTTAAAGGCACAGCTTGGTATCTCAGAGGGAAAGTACAAATTCAAATTCAAAAGCCATTTTTTTAGGCTTGGCGTCTGTAGCACAGTGGTTACAGCACCATCCACATACACCCAAGGTGGCGGGTTCAAACCTGGCCCGAGCCAGCTAAACAATTGACAACTGCAAAAAAAAAAAATAGCCGGGCGTTGTGGCAAGCACCTATAGTCCCAACTATGTGGGAGGCTAAGGCAAGAGAACCACTTAAGCCCAAAAGCTGGAGGTTGCTGTGAGCTGTGACACCAAGGCACTCTACTGAAGGCAACATAGTGACTCTGTCTCAAAAAAAAAAAAAGGAAAAGAAAGCAAGACTTTTTTTAGACTTGAATACATCCTGTAGG